TTATATTTATCTCTGATTATTCTCTTGATTTCTACTGACTGTTGGAATTTCTCTTTTTTTCATTTATGATCCTACTTATTTGTGTTTTCTCCCATTTTCCTTTGTTAGGCTGGCTAGAGTTTGTCTATTTTGTTTATTTTTTTCAAAGAATCAACTTTTGATTTCTTTGATCTTTTGGATTTTTTTTTTTAATTTCTATTTCATTGATTTCTGCTTTGATTTTTATTACTTCCTTCTGGTATTTGGGGTTTTAGTTGTTCTTTTTCTTTCCTTTTTTTTTTTAAAGATTATTATTTATTTATACAAGCACTGGGTACAGTCAGAAGCGCTGGAGGATGAGAGAATTCACCAGAGCCAGAGCGGGGAGCAGAACAGGCAGAAGGACCAAAGTACACTGCTGAGGGGAGCAGCGGGCTGCAGGAGAGGTCTGCGCGCCATGTGGGACCCTCGCCCAGCAGCTGGGGATCAAACCGGTGCTGCAGAGGCTGCAGGCAGCTTCTCAGCCCAGCGCCCTGCTGTGCCACAAGGGCCCAATTGTTCTTTTTCTAATTCTTTGAGATGGGAGATTAAGTTGCTTCTTTGAGTTCTTTCTTGTTTCTTGATGTGAGACTCTGAATTTCTTAACATCTGAATTAATCTGTGCACAGATGAATCAGGACATCTAAGAAATTCTTGTAATTCTTGCCATCCAAAAGTAACAAAAAATATGAAACCATAGAAGTGGACTGTAATATCTCTACTTCCTCTTTGAGCCATCAGTCTATCTGTAGGATGGCAGCACTCATGATCCAGTATTTGTGGTTTTCCCTGTCATCAGTCACTTGAGTACCAGCTCCTGAGAGCTGGCCAGAATTGTAAGCCTAAAAATCTTAAAATGGTCTTCATCTCTGGATTATAGGTCACTAGCTTCTTTAATGCTATGACTCTTTAACTTTGGGTTAGTCCATCTTGGGGGCAAGTCTGAACGCCCACTATAGAGCAATGTCCTCAAGTCCTATAGCTCTCTGGCTCCTCGATCTGGCTCTGCAAATCCTTCTGAATTTCTCTTAAGAAACTCATTCATGAAAAAGTAATTTTTATGCTGTCAGATTCTTTCTCCATGCCCCATCCCTAGAAAAGAAAGGTATTCACACCAATGTCTATACTCACTGTTTCCGATGCCACTGACAGGTCATAAGCACTTACTCACTTTTTTTTTCTCTAGAATTAGCTTTGCGTCTGGCTGGAGGGGATGGGCCCTGCTCAGGGCGAGTGGAAGTGCATTTCAGAGGAGACTGGATTCCAGTGTCTGACCGGAACTTCACTTTCCCCACCGCCCAGGTCATCTGTGCACAGCTGGGGTGCAGCAAGGCTGCATCTGTCCTGGGGGGCATGCCCTTCAGAGAGTCAGGTGGACGGGTCTTTGCTGAGGAGTTCTGGTGTGAGGGGAAGGAGCCAGGGCTCTGGTTTTGCCCCAGGGTGCCCTGCCCAGGAGGCACCTGCCACCACAGCGGGGCTGTTTACCTTGTCTGCTCAGGTGAGTATTGAGCAGGATTCACCCTCCCTGCTTACTTTGGAGTAAGATTGTTGGCTGAAATCCTGTCTTTTCCTACCAGAGTATGCAGAAGTGCGGCTCATGAACGATGGCAGCTCTCAGTGTGAGGGACAGGTGGAGATGAGTATTTCTGGTCGCTGGAGAACGCTCTGTGCCTCCCACTGGAGTCTGGCCAATGCCCATGTTGTGTGTCGTCAGCTTGGCTGTGGAGTCGCCCTGTCCACCCCCGAAGGAGCACACACTAGGGGAGGAGCTGACCAGGTCTGGAGGGGCCAATTTCACTGCTTGGGGGCTGAGTCCTTCTTGTGGAACTGCTCCATGACTGCCCTGGGTGCTCCCGACTGTGCTGGTGGAAACATAGCCTCTGTGATCTGCTCAGGTGAGAGAGGGGCACTACGTGCACTCAGGGGCTTGGGTCCCTCAAGTGGGGCTTGTGGGAAAACTGGCCTAATGAAAATGAACTATATCTTGATTAAGGTGTTGGATTAGGTAAGTACACACATTTGTCACAATGTATCCTCATGTACTCTTAATGTTGGTGTGTTTTATTGCATGAGAAATACATGTCAATAGAATTTATTAGTTTTCTTGCAGTTCTACTGTGGTCAAAATATATGATTTCATGACTTTTTCTTTTTTTTTCCTTTCAAAATATTTGAAACTCACTTTCCATAATATACAGTCTTGGTAAATGGCCCATGTACTCTTGAGAATAACTTATATTTTGCTGTTTTGAGGTGCATATTTTGCAAACTATACCATGCAGATATTTGAAATATCTACTGATTGTTTTGTTGACCATTTAGTCAGTTACTGATAAAGATGTTTTCCTTTTGTTGTCCAAATACACATTACTTCCAAATCTACCATGGAAAACAACCATTTTACTTTTTTTCTGACTGCCAATCACATTTCTTCATGTTATTTGAATCTTCACTAACAGCATCCCCAAAACCCATCAGCCTTCTGATAATAATCTCCCTAAGTCCTTACTGATTTAGCCTACTGCCTTATCATGAAAGAAAGCAGCCTGGGCTCCTATGAGTAAAGATGTTCTCAACATTCATATTCAAGTCCTGCAGGCAGATGTTTGCAATTCTCTTTATTTATTTAAAAAAATATTTATTTATGCATATAAGAACTGGGAAACAGGCCAGAGGGGTGGGGTGAGAGGATTCACAGGAGACAGAGTAGGGAACAGAACTGGCGGACTGACTGAAATACACTGCTGAGGGGAGCAGCGGGCGAGACAGGAGAGGTCTGCTGCACCATGTGGGTAGCTCCCTGGCTGGCCTGGGATCGAACTGGTGCTGCAGAGTCTGCACGGATAGCTTCATAGTGCTGTGCTTAATCCCTTGTGCCACCAGGGAGGCCCTGCAATTCTCTTTAGAGAAGCTTAGTTGAAGAGAAATGTTTCTCTTTCTCTTTATTCACACAACTGTCCTGGTTACTATATTGTTGAATTACAAATTTCTCCCCCAAATTTAACAACAAAAACAAAGATACATCTTAGTTTGCTGTGATTTCCTGAGTCAGGAATTTGGGGAAGCTCAGTTTGGCAGTTCTCTCTGGTGTTTTCACATTACTGTCATGGGAGGCTGAAATCATACAAGAGCTGCCTGAACTGGGGACCCAGGATGCTCACTGACAGCCTCTCCCCAGGACAGGCTCAGCAGGGTCACCTCCCTTAAAGCACATGTCCTCAGTGGGGCTGGGGACGCTGCAAGACTTTGCTGATCTGATGCAGGAAATCAGCAGCATTGCCTCCACTGCATTATGTTGCCTACAAGCAAGTCATGAAGGTCAGTCAGGAAAGATGCAAGAGAAGGAAACATAAAACTCACTCCTCAGTAGACACAATATCAAGATTTTATGCTCATGTTTATAAACTACCACGGTATATAAAATATCCCTTTGTAATTGTGGATTTTTAAATTTCTAACTTTAATTCTTCATTTGTGTCTTTATACATATGTCATATACATTCTGCTTAGATGTTTTCACCTTATCTCTTGTACCCCTTTTATATTTTCTATTCTTTGTCCTGTGCTGTATTCTGGGTATTTTCCTTTTTATTGTTCCTACCTCTAAATCTCTGCTGAGGTTTTCAGAGTCACATCTGTGACCTCTGAGCTGACAAAAATCTCAAGGGGAAATAGGCTCAGCCCTGCTCTTTGCTTCTCTCTGAGCATCTGGCTCCAAATTTTCTCACTGCATTAGGAGCTCTGCAACACTGTCAAACACTATTGGATTATTGCCACTTATCTAAGCTCACTAACAGTGTTTTTCTTAAAGCAGAAACTTTGGCACTGTCAGAGACAGAACTCTCCAAACAGAAGGTGAACTCTAAAATTATGATGCCATGACTGCTTAGTTCATCTCAGACCCCACCACTAGGTTATTGTGTAGTTTAATTCCGTTTTCTGCTCCTCAATCCCATTGAGCCTCTGACCTTGCTGCTCTGCAGGAAACCAGATGCAGGTGCTGCCCCTATGTACCCACTCCCCGTCTCCACCAGCAGGCTCAGAAGCCTCAGAAGAGGGTGCCACCAGATGCTCAGGTGAGGGGCCTCCAGGACCAGGAAAGCTTCTCTTTCCAGATTAGACACCTCCTTCACCTGACTCTCTCTCCTCAGACAGCACACAGCTCCGACTGGTAGATGGAGGCCATCGCTGCGCCGGCAGAGTGGAGATCCTTCACCAGGGCTCCTGGGGCACCATCTGTGATGATGGCTGGGACCTGCGTGATGCCCACGTGGTGTGCAGACAGCTGGGCTGTGGGGAGGCCCTCAACGCCACGGTCTCTGCTCACTTCGGGGAGGGATCAGGGCCCATCTGGCTGGAGGAGCTGCAGTGCACAGGAAATGAGTCCCTGATGTGGAAGTGCCCATCCCGGGGCTGGGGGCGCCATGACTGCAGGCACAAGGAGGATGCCGGGGTCATCTGCTCAGGTCTGCACTGCACCTTGTCCAGGCCTGGTGGTGTGAAGGGGATGGAGCTCTGAGGACAGAGTCTGAAATGATAGAGGAGAAGTAAGCTTCTATAGGAGTGCCTGATTAGGTGTTTCCTTTCATCCTGTTGCAGCTGAGGTTCTGTTTCTTCCTTCTCAGCAACATCTCCTGAGGGAGCCACGTCCTACAGTTTCCACATCCAAGCAGGGCTCACTCCTCAGTTACTGATGCTAATAAAATCTTGACACTCATTGTACTGCTTTATACTTGTTTTATAACAAATAATTATATTATACATTATTATATTAATATTTATTGGTAATAACACATAATTAGTGGTTTATAACAACCTATATATATATTTTTTTAATTAATTAATTAATTAACTTATTCTTACAATGTTTGCTTTCTTTTCTCCTGTGTAGTCCCCATAGAATTCCCACCACCAACTCACCCGTGCACCATCACCATAGTCCCCTGTGCTCTTCCCGCCCTCAAACCACTTATATATATTATCTTACATTTCTGTAGGTTAGAAATCCAACACTATATCGCTGAGCTAAAATCAAGGTGTGAGCATAGTTTCATCACTTCTAAGGTCTTGTGGAAGACTCAGTTTCAAGCTTCTAGAAACTGTCAGCATTCTTTGTCTCAGACCCCCTTCCTTCATCATCAGGCCAGCAGTGTTACAGATCTCTCACCATTCTCCACAATCACCTTTCTCTCTAACCAAAGCCAATTGTGTTCCATGTTTAAAGACAGTGGATCTAACAAAGGGCTCACCTGGTTAATCCTCGATGTTCCAGGCTAACCTCACCTTTCCAAGGTCTTTCTCTTGGACACATCTGTATAATATCTTTTCCATGCAAGGTGACACATTCACATGTAAGGTGATAGTACTCACAGGAATCAGGATGCAGACATCTTGGGGGGGCTTTATTCTGCCCCCCACTACTTCCTCATATTCTGTAGTTTTGTCAGGAAGCAGCATCCAGTGCTCCTTCCCTGCAGAGGGCCCAGAGCGCCGAGTGGGGTGCTCACGGTGCCTTGTCTCCCCTTTTCTCTTTCAGAGTTCCTGGCCCTCAGGGTGGTGAGTGAGGACCAGGACTGTGCTGGGTGGCTGGAAGTTTTCTACAACGGGACCTGGGGCAGTGTGTGCAGCAGCCCCATGGACGCCACGACCTTGTCCGTGATCTGCAGACAGCTTGGCTGTGGGGCCAGCGGGACCCTCAACTCTTTTGTTGCTGCTAGGGAAGGGTCTAGACCCCGGTGGGTAGATGGAATCCAGTGTCAGAAAACTGATACCTCTCTCTGGCAGTGTCCTTCTGATCCTTGGAAAGACCGTTCATGTTCTTCAGGAGAGGAAGCTTCCATCTCGTGTGCAGGTGACTGTTGTATGTGTCTGTCTCTGCCCTGTAGGCGATTGCTGCTAGTGATGATTTATATTTTCAAATATAGCTTATGAGTTTAAGATAATGTAGAGTGAAGTTGGGTAAATCCACATGTTCCAATCCTGTTTTAGAGGAAAATAGAAGGAAATTGTGTTGACAGCAGTTCATGTGAAAAATACCAGGTCGATTTTATTGAAACTGTGGGGAGTGTGAATAATCCCCTGATGGACTTTTAATTAATTAAGGCTAGCCAAATGATATGCTGAACACCTTAAAATAAATAAGGGCCAGGTCCCCATGCTCTGTGTCTCTCATGCTCAAGTGTCATGAGGATTAGGAAGTGCTGTGAAAGTGCTGTTTTGATGGAGATCTGAAGGATGAGTAAGAGTACTTTAAAGGAAGAAGTGGAAAGCTTCCTTTGGTCAGTGCTGAGAAAATCCCCTCACTGCAAGTGGAGGAGGATGGGGTGAGCAATGCAGGCGACCCTGAAAGGCAGAGCAGAGCGGAGACCTCTCTTGGGCAGGGTCCTACAAGTCAGTTCTATTAAAGAGGAATTTGTTTATCCTCTTGGCTGTCACTGCTGAGGGGCCAGTGACCTTGAGTCAAGCAGATCTTCCTACTTCAGTTGATCACTTTTAAGAGGTAATTAGATTCCTAGTCTTCTTGGTTGATCTGTAATGTAATTTTTTCCATTTATACTTTAAAAAGTGTAAATGTAGGGTTGATTATGAATTATTTCTGAGTCTGGACTCATTTTTAAAAGTATCCACTTTTTAATTACCACAAAGCATAGATATTATTTTGTATTTTCCTTATTATTTTACTAGTAAACAATTTAAAGGAATTATATTTCACTAGATTTTAGCCATCTACTCATTCAGTGAACATTCATAAGCCCCTCTCCCCGGTGCTTACAGAAGGTTCTGTACACACCTGTTGAATGAAGCCCTTTGGGGCACTTGGCACTGAGCTATGAGCAGGTGCACAGATGTGAGTCAGATGTGTAGGATCCTTTCTCTAGTGGACCTGCATCTGTGTGCATGTGTTAGTTGTGGAGAGTGGAGAATTGATAGACAAGACAAAGATAAAATAATTTCAGCTGCTGACGAGGGTGAAGATGGAGTGAGAATCCAGTCCCTCAACCATTAGATTAACTAGGAAGCCCGTGTTTCCCCTTGGCATTTGGACTGAAGCAGATCACCTTGTTTGGGGGCAACACCAGCCCCTCCTGTCGCTGACCCAACACTCCCCCTTTGCTTCCACAGAAAAGAGACCCAGGGACTGTCCATCTGCAGCCCCATGCACAGGTACATCAGCCCCTACCAGCTCCCCGGATCCCACTGGGGCTCCATCATCCTCCAGGACCTTAACTGGGGTCCCCTGGCCTTGCAGACAGGGAGAAGCTGCGCCTGCGGGGAGGAGACAGCGCGTGCTCGGGCCGCGTGGAGGTGTGGCACGCGGGGGCGTGGGGCACGGTGTGCGACGACTACTGGGGCCTGGCTGAGGCCCACGTGGTGTGCGGGCAGCTGGGCTGTGGCTCGGCGCTGGACGCCCCGCGGGCGGCGGCCTTTGGCCCTGGAAATGGCAGCATCTGGCTGGACGAGGTTCGGTGCAGGGGCGGGGAGTCCTCCCTGTGGGAGTGCCCTGCGGCTCCCTGGGGGCAGAGCGACTGCAAGCACGAGGAGGACGCCGGAGTGAGATGCTCAGGTGAGTGGGCGACCCCCTCCTTTTGGTGGGGGTGGAAGGCGAGGGGACATGTACTGGAAGAGTCTAGAGATTCTTCCTGACTCACCTGCTGAGAGTACCTTTGCACTTGGATGCTGCTGCCTGATCCCCTGGAGCTGGGAGAGAACAAGGCGCCAGAGATGGTAGGTGTGACCCTGTGACTTTTCCACCCAACTCAGTAGTTGATCCCCTCTCCCTTTCTCTTCTCTCCAGGTGAGAGGACAACAGTGCCCCCAACCCAGGCACGTAAGTGATTCTTCTCTGAGTCATGAGAGTGAGGAGACACCCACATTTTCAGGGAATGCACAACGGAATCTACATATTTCTGGAAAATTAACTTCTTTGGTGCAGGAAAGGCCCATGCTCGGGTGTTAACTGTGGCAGCTGTAATGCCCCACAGCTTTATCCATTTTTACTTTATAAAGATCCCTTAGAACCAGATGCAGAAGACAGTTGATACAGCTGAGGGCAGGATCTGGGTGGATCATATCTTGGGGTTCAGGCCCATCATTGCATCTGAATGGTATCTTCATGGTCTATAAGACTCAGTGGATAAGCAAAAAAATGTGGTGGTGGGGAAGGTTTCACCTAGATCTACAATCTTTTCTTAAACCTCATGTCCTCTTCTGTCCTCAGGCAGTAGATCAAACTCAGCTCCAGGCCTGGGCATCTTCTCCCTGCCCGGGGTCCTCTGCATCACCTTGGGGGCCCTTCTCTTTCTGGTCCTGGTCATCCTGGGGATTCAGCTGCACAGAGGGAGAGCAGAGCACCAAGGTGGGCCATAGGGATGCTAAAGGGAAGTTGTGGGAAGGCTGTTGAGCCAGTTATGATACCAAAAAAAGTGCTCCAGTATTGCCCTTGAGCCTCACAATCTGGCAAATAGCATCTTCTTTACACTAGCCTTCAAGATTTGAGAAAGTGGAATCCCTACTTCAAGGTTGATTGTAAAATATCTCAAAAAAATTATGGATTTCTGTAGAACAGTGTCAGGGAGAATTGAGTGCAAGGTCATAGTCAGTGGCAGGAAATCTAGTTCTATACCTAAAAGGATCAGGAAGGGGCCCAGTGGGTTCTCCAAAGGTGAGCACTGAAGAGCACCACAGCCTGGCCTGTTAGTGTAGGTACTGTCTCCAGGGGCAGTCTCTGAACTCATGCCATTTTCCACAGCCTCACCTGCTTTCGAAGATGTCATAGATGAGGCCTTGTACCAGGAGATTGATAACTATGCTCTGCCAGAAAAGGAGGACATTTTAGACAGCCCAGGTATGTCCCATGCCCTCCCTGTTGTTCCTGAGCTGACCATGGGTTCCCTTCACAATTACAGTTCTAAACTTTTTCCTCTTCCTAAGGCAGGAGCTTCCAGTTTCTCCCTACAACACTGAGGCTTCAAGATTTCTTCTTAATCTTGACACTGGGCAAATGTTTACTATGGCAAATGTTTTCTGTCTGTGATGTTCTTCTCTCCCCCACTCCCCCACCAGGAAACCTGTCTGATGACTCAATGACTAAGCTGCCATATTACTCAGGGGATGATGAGGAGAAGGGAGACCCTGGATCTTTCCCAGGTAGGAGAGACAGGTCTTCCCCTGGATGGTGGAGATGAGGACCAGGAGTGTCATTTGAGGAGAATTTCTGTGTTGAGGATGGGAAGAGTCTCTTCTTCCTTTCTCACAAAAACCTTTTGCTCTCCCTGACCTGATAAAGGAAAAGATTAGACCCAGTTCTCTGTATCCACAGCTATTTCTAATCATTTGGAGACATGCTTCTAATTACTATAGACTCAAAGGCCATTTTTTTTTCAGTAACATCTGAAACTGACATCCTGAGAATTTCCATGGTGAACATTGGGAAGTGGTTTGCACTTGAGGTGGTATGATATTGGTGGGTCATGTACATACTAAGACCCAAAAAATAGATTTTGCTAAGCCCTAGAAAACATGGAGTGCTGGTGCTTGTACTTACCAGCTACCAGAAACTCTTATTGACAGGGGACCTAAGAGAGAATGTTCCTCCTGGATCTTCCCCAGATTGTGACTATGTATAGCTCCTGGGATGAGACATGTACAGAGGGATCCTGGAGATTGTATCCTTAGATCAACATGGCCCTCAGTGGATTGAAACCGAGGCCCTTTTTTGTGGTGGCTGGTGGGATTGCCTTTCTCTGAGTAAGAGGTACCAAGTTTCCTTAACCTGCCTGCTCTGTGTTTCCCACAGACTCAGAGGCATGTGGGCAGGTGGGTTCTCTTTGTCCAGATTCATTCCAAGATACACAATTCTGTGGCATGTGTTTGAATGTTGTACCTGGTTTCATGTTACAATAGCTTTTGTTGAAGCTTTATAGTATGAGAGGCCATGTTAGGAAAGTACGTTAGAATGTGTAGAAGTGGGCTTCCTCAGTGGCGCAGCGGTTGAGCGCTGGGTTGCGAAGCTGCCTGCAGCCTCTGCAGCGCCAGTTCGATCCCAGGCCGCCGGGCGAGGGTCCCACATGGTGCGCAGACCTCTCCTGTCTCACCCGCTGCACCTCTCCTGTCTAACCCGCTGCTCCCCTCAGCAGGGTATTTCATCGGTCTGCCTGTTCTGCTCTCTGCTCTGGCTCTGGTGAATTCTCTCACCCTCCCGCACTTCTGACTATACCCAGTGCTTATATAAATAAATAAACAATTAAAAAAAAAAGAATGTGTAGAAGAATCAAATAATTCTGAAAATATTGAGATAAAATATATTTTGATCCCAGGGCCCAGAGACAGCCCTGGACTCTAGAGCTTATACGTATCAGCTGTTGAAATCTCTGAAGTAGAAGGGTCCGAGCACCCCCCAGTGCAGCCTCAGTCCTTGTCCATTTCCAGAGCCTCCGGGACAGCCTGTCAGAGCCACGGAAGATGGTTATGATGATGTTGAAGAGCTTCCTGTTCCTGAAATTCCTTCTTTCCCTGGAATGAGTGGGACAATTTTTTCCCAGAGGAGGAAGGTGGTTCAGGGTATTCCCAGCTAGGTGAGTGGTCAACTCTATCTCCAGTAGTTTCATTTCCTTGTCAGGGGGAAGATGAGTTTGAACCCACCATAATTCAGGTTTTCTTTACTATCAACATCTGGAACCCTCTTAAACCTGGATGAAGTGTCTCTTGGATATTGTCTATTTCATCTCTTCTGAGAGGAGACACATACTGTGTTCTCATGTCTATTTCCTCCATCATCTCGATACAGACATTCCTGCATGAGTGGCAGAGGCTTTATTCTTATTTCTTCACACTGCAAATTGAGATATATGATCTGACAATAAATTTGGGGGCTTTTTCAGATTGTGAGATGTAATCTGAAATGTTTTGATAGCAGTGTAAATTAAATTTGAAAGCTAGGAAAATTTTTAGGGGAACCATATATCCAGATGTTTAAATTTGGGCTTGACTGTTATTAATACAGATGTTCAAAGGCCTTAATTAGAGTCATAAAAATCTCAGCTGTAGAATGAAACTAAGAGACAGTTTTCTCAAGTTGTTTCAGTTGACAGATGAAGACCTTCTTCTTTAGGTCTAGACTTTCTGCTTATGTGTGAGCATGTGGGGCCTGGGGAGCAGGGAGCTGTGGGATTTGTTTGAGTTGCTCCCTTTTGGCTTCTGACAGAGAACCCAGATTGTTCTCCTGAAGACTTCTGTGTCAAGCTTGGGCTGATATTGAGGTGCTGAGGATTCTAGGGGAGTCACCTCCTGCTTCCATTACTTATGAAATCAGGCCACATGGGTGTGAGAGTTCACTCTCTTCTCCACTCCTCACCATCATTGGCCCAGTGCTTCCCAAGTGTCAGGTCAAGACATAACTTTGCACAGAGTAGCTGAGTGGATAAAGTAGTTCTAGCCTTTGAGAGAGTTGCTGGATCCCACAGATATTCTGTAGCCATTTGCACCCATCTCTTTCTACCAAATGATTCTTCTTGTCACCACTGAAACCGGATTCCTCTTCACCTTGTAGGCCTCTGACTCCCATTGGTCCTGAGGCAAGAAGACCCTGGCTGTGATGATGTTGAGCTTAGCACCATGTAGCACCATTTTTGGATCAAATAAATCTTCAAAGACTCCACTGTAATATTGTTTCCCCAATAAATGAGAATTCTGTCTTCTTCATTACTGCAGGATTTTATCTTGGCCTGTGATGAAAGGAAAATCTTCATAATAAATACCTTGAGATTCACAGACAAGTGTTGTTAAGAATCTAGATCATTCACTTCACTGACCTAGGACAATTCAGTCTCAATCACACCCCTCCCGCATGTGAAATCTCAGTTGAAATATCCGTGTATCATGTCCCTCATCCTATATACTTGTCTCCTTTAAAATCAGACAATGTCACACTTTTCTGGAATAGTATAAAAACCTGAAATCTGACCCTGGACTAAGTGTTTACTCAGTAATAGCAAATTGGAAACACCTAGCTGAAGATTCCAAAATATGCCATGCCTCCTCTACTAAACCCAGAGTTGAGGTTCAAAGTGAATGGGTGGGTCAGGAAAGAGGGAAATGGTTGCCACTCTTCTAATTTTTCCCATAGATTTATGGAATATCAATGTCAAAAATCTACTTTCTACAAGGCCCTTTCTCTTTTCTGGTTATTCACCAACATCCCTAATTGCCATTGAATTGCACATCCTAGTGTTCTTAAATCCTGATGGTTTCCTTCTTTTTTTTTTAAATTTGTGCATATAAGAGCTGGGATGCAAGCCAGAGATGCAGTGGGTGAGAGGATTCGCCAGAGACAGCGTGGGGAGCAGAACAGGTGGATCTACTGAAATACACTGCTGAGGGGAGCAGCGGGACAGGAGAGGTCGGCTGCTATGTGGGTAGCTCCCTGGCTGGGGATCGAACTCATGCTGCAGTGGCTGTGGATAGCTTCATGGGTTGCATCGTAACCCCTTGTGCCACCAGGGAGGCCCCATTTCCATCTTTTTTATTAACAACTATTTTCTATTTCCTTAGCCGACTACATTTATTTAAACGCCTAACAATTGAACCTCACCATTGCAAAACTTTTTGATTTTTATATTTTTAAAAGATTTTATTTATTTTTGTATAGAAGAACTGGGGTATAGGCCAGAAGATTAGGGGTGAGAGGATTCACCAGAGACAGACTGAGGAGCAGAACAGGTAGATCTACTGAAATCCATTGCTAAGGGGAGCAATGGGTGAGACAGGAGAGGTCTGCTGTGCCATGTGGGTTAGCTCCTTGGCTGGGGATCAAACGCAGGCCATTATGGTGATGGCGCTGAGACTTAACTCCCAGGCCACTAGGGAGGCACCTCAAACCTTTTTTAAGTTGCAGTATTTCTTTGAACCCTTCCCTTTCCCTATCATCCTCACCTATTTACTGGAAATTTATCAAGAGTGTTGGGTAGTGGAGGGGAGGCAGAGCTAGAGTGAGGCAAATAGGTAAGTCAAACAATGAAATTCTCCTGTCTGGAAACCACTTCTCTTTCATTATTCGCTAGAGCAACATTTTCAAATTCAGTTATCTGCAGACCAGTACAGTGAATGTTTCCAGTATTCTACCTTCAGTATAGTTCACCAACATTTTATTGTCTTTTAAAAATAACTAATTTTGACTGGGTCGCTACATGCAAAAGAATGAAGCTTGACTACTACCTCACACCATACACAAAAACCAACTCAAAATGGATTAAAGAACTAGACATAAGACCTGAAACCATGAAATACATAGAAAGAAATATAGGCGAAACACTACATGATATGCACCTCAAAGACATCTTTACAGACACATCACCCAAAGCAGTGATAGTGAAGGCAAAGATAAACAGCTGGGACTACATCAAATTAAAGAGCTTCTGTACAGCAAAAGAGACAATAACCAAAACAAAGAGAAACCCCACCAACTGGGAGAACATTTTTGCACACAACACTAATGATAAAAGACTGATCACAAAAATCTACAAAGAGCTGATGAGACTCAACAAAAACAAAGAAAATAAACCAGTCAAAAAATGGGCAGAAGAGCTAAAAAGAAACTTCTCGGAAGAGGAAATGCAAATGGCCAACAGGCATATGAAAAAATGTTCAACATCATTTGTAATCAGGAAAATGCAAATCAAAACTACCGTGAGATACCATCTTACACCAGTGAGAATGGCACATATTAAAAAAACTAGCAACAACAAATGTTGGCAAGGGTGTGGAGAAAAAGGAACTCTTCTGCACTGTTGGTGGGAGTGCAAACTGGTCCAACCACTATGGAGAGCTGTGTGGAGATTTCTGGACCTACTAAACATAGAGCTTCCATATGATCCAGCAATTCCACTCGTAGGTATTTACCCAAAGGACACAGAAACATCAATTCCAAAGAGCACCTGCACCCCTATGTTTATAGCAGCACTGTTTACAATAGCTAAGCTTTGGAAACAACCCAAATGCCCAAAAATTGATGACTGGATCAAGAAGATGTAGTACATATACACCATGGAATATTACTCAGCATTCAAAAAAGATAAGCACATGCAATTTGCAGCAACATGGATGGAGCTGGAAGGGATCATGCTCAGTGAAATAAGCCAGAAAGAAAAAGA